GTCCACATGTAGTACCTATATCTGTAATATTCAAAGCAATTGGACTTGCGGTTTTTAACAAGAAGTTGAAAATATCACTTTTTACCAAAAATTACAAAAATATTCACCAAAATTAGAGAATTGAAGATATCACCATGAAATGAACAAATCTAAGAGAGGTCTACCCAAGGTACAAATACATCAAGTATCAAAGCATTCAGGCTTGTAGTTTTCAAGAAGAAGTCGAAAAAGTAAAACATTGACACGAACGACGACGGACAATCACTCGTATGATAAGCTCCGCTCGAGAAAGTCGACAGTGAAGCTAAAAAGTCAATCAAAAACAATCTTAACATTATTTGCATACCATGGAGAGAGTCAGAATCAATTCAGTAATATGGCAGATATCTTGCTAAACCAGTTTCAGTTTTACATAGAACATGTCGAAATTAGCTTTGAAATTTTCATAAATAGGAAAAATGTTTCCTTCATATATACGCAACGAATTTGTACAAAATATAATTTGAGAAATTTGTAAATATAATGAAAAAACAAATATTTTGAGAAAATTGAAATGATATACTGGTATTGATAAATGATAAACCATTTTGATAGCTGCTGAAGAAAGATTAGTAGAAGCAGGGCAGCACCAATATTTCAAAAAAAAACATTTTCTATTGTACCCTGCAGTTTTTGTGTCAGCAAGGAATCTTCCTGATTGTATCTTTGAAGGTAAGAATGTGATTTCTGTGGATCCCACCTTACCACCTTGTAATTTACCAGCACATAGATCATTGATAAGCTGCAGTCCTGTCATATGCTGAGGTCTGAAAATAAATACACATGTATTCTTACATCTTTTGATTTAAGTACAAGATATTTCATGGTCAATCAAAAATACAACTACAAAGCTGGTCAAATTGTTAGTACTACTGCGGTATTAAAAATGTGCAGGAATTAATGATCAGAAATTATCAAAAAAATCAAAAGAATACATTTTGGTTGATTCAATGAGGAGAGCATTTGCCATAATTTGATCTTTGGCAAGTTCAGTCGTCACAATCTGACCATGGAAATCTAGGCATCAATTGCCACTGTGGAACAGATTTTGGTCACCATGACTACCATGTATTGTGTTTATTTGTGTTTGGGAAAGGTAAGTTTTCATGTCTAAATATCAACAAGAATTTTTAAGATTAGTTCTTGCAACAACACAGGAGTCTACTCAGAAATTGTAAACAACTAAATTAAAATGCACCAGTACCTTAGACCTGGATTACTTCTTTTAGCTCTAATATTATTGACTGTGATTGGTCGACACAGTAAACAGCTAAGCGCTGATGAAATCCTTAGTATTTGACCACCCTGTTAAGATAGAAACTTGCGTTACAGATTCGCTGTTACTTCAACCATGGAGCTTAGCTCCATGCCTCAACTCTACCTTATACAACACTGGCATTTGGAACAGTGGAAACGATGACAAGAAAGAAGGGAATATTATTTAAGGACAAAAACAAGTCTTTCTTTCGTTCCTAAGGAGATTTCGGCTACTGCTAAGCTGTGTGGGTCAATAGCTCTACTGTGTCGACACAGACCATACAAATATCATGTACGTTTAATATACCATCATATTGACACATGCAGAGCTTTGGACCCACAGCTCGGCTACTGCGTATTTAGATATAAAAGTGGGCGTGTCACCTTGGAACACAGTGAATAGTAACCAAGGACGTATAATGCCAATAATCTAGATACTCAGGAAGTCCACATTTCACAATTACTGAAATTTAAAAATTTCCAATCTGTCAAAATATTAAAGTTTAAAATCTAAATTATTATACCGTACGTACCCCTTCTTTCATGCTCCCGTCGACTAAAACTGGTTCATTTGATGCCATATTAGTATAACTACTGACGGTATATCACACAAGTGTTCACAGGCTCCAACAAAATCACGTGTGGTTAATATCAAGATTGCACCATAGTGCTACAACAACGTGTAATATACACGTGAGGTCAAACGGAAGTATAATATAAGGTGTCACTGCTCCGAAAGTCAATGCAGATTTCAGCAGTAAAACCTAATGATTACGTACACTGTGGACCGGTTTTTAATTTAACAATTTAATATTGGAGAATTGGCACATGAAAGCTTCGAAATATTTTGATAACCGCGGGGGTTTGTCGTGGGCTGGTCTTCGGATCTGCGCAATGACCCTGCGTAGTGTCGAATTCAGCTCAAAATGGCAGCTATGTGCAGACGAGGGTCTGTGTTATTTCCCATTATTCGCCAAACAACAGCGGTAAGCAGACGATTTCCTATATCTGTGAAATGGTTTAACAAACATGGCATGCGGATAGGTTTAATAATTATGGCATACGAATGGCGTTGCGTTGCAAGTCTACAGTGCACACCGTTCAGCTGATAAAGCAATGATTTATGTAACTCGACTAATGAATGCATGTCGGTTTATCGTCTAGCCTCTCTACTATAACAAGCGTTTCACTTTTTCGGTGATTTGTGTCATCAAGAAAAGTACTGGTATTTGACATTTCATTTTTGTTTACATTGACCAACATAGTGAACGCATCGAGCGGATCACAAGGCACGCTAATAATAGAACAATCGTCTGACAAGTTCAAACTGGGTAAAGTTCACATTCTGCTGGTACAAATGTACATGTGTAAGTGTCCTTCATTAAAAGCAGGAAGTTGTAGAACCAGATTAATCAAGAAATTAAATTCAGCACGTTCGAAAAGATTTGTTGCCAAGGTGACAACAGTAAAAGTACGCTTCCGATCAAAACAAAAATCACTTCCATCTGGACTGTACTATTTTAAGTTATACATTGTTCACTCATATCACTAATGCGCCCTGACTTTCCACTAAAACAACTTGTTAACGGTAGTACTGCTGTCACTAGTTTCCTCCTGGACAGAGATTTTGTTTACACATTATTTTTAAATTGTACATCTGCTTGCTTCAGTACTTGTATGATGAAGAGCAGACTTTGTAGAGATCCTGAGTCAAAATGGAATCTCCAAATTCAAGTGGTGTCAGCTTGTTGACTGCTGAGAAGGTTGGTCTTCAAGAAAACAATAAAATTATGTGACTGTTTAGGTAATTAAGGCACAAATATAAATGTTGTGGCCCCTGATTTCCTTAAATTTTTCAT